CCGTCAATACCATTGATTCGTGACATCCTACATTACCATAGGACCGGAATGACTTCCATCGAACCACAGACCTATCAGCCTCAGCCTAAAGAATTGTCAAAAAGACCACAATGACATTTGTGGAAACCAACAACTTGCTAAACAGAGAACAATAATAATAATAATTTATTCTCAAATAACAGTTTGCTACATGAGACATGCCAGTTTACGGGCAAGATCAAACATGGTTTCAGGAAGGGTTTACCTTGCACAACAAGCCCCCTTATAGCAAGAGGGCAATAGATAAAGGCTCTAGACAACGGAAAACCAGTGGGTGTCGTATACATGGAATTCAGCAAAGCATTTGAAAAAGTGTCAACAAATAGACTGCTCTTGAAGCTATAAAATCTTGATATTGCCGGACCTCTCTTAAAATGGCTTAAGATTTTTCTTTAGGACGTAGACGGAAAGTAAGAGTAAATTCAATGTGTTCAATCCGGAGACCATTACTTAGTGGAGTACCTCAAGGTTCTGTCCTAGGTCCATTACATTTTATACTGCATATAAATGATTTCCTGAGTATAGTTGAGTCTCCAATGTTAATATACGCTGATGATGTAAAAATCTGGCGAGTAATAACCGAAGACTCAGATGTGTACGCACTTCAAGCAGACTTAAATAATGTGATTAACTGGTCTAATGAGTGACTGACGCCTATCAACGCGGCAAACTGTGTCTGCATGGAGTTGGGGATAAGAAGGTTAATAGGTACAGCATAGGGGAAATGCCTATACCCGTGCTCCTATCTCACAAGAATCTTGGGGTGACAGTGAGTCATAATTTTTAGACGACGGCCCGCTGCCGGAAAGTCACAGCTAAGGGGTTTAGAACCCCCCGGGCTTTAAAACGGACATTCACTTAGATACTACTGTGATCACTACAGTATACACAGCCTTGGTGAGAACTAAGCTTGAGAACTGCGTTCGGGCTGCAAGCCCCTGTTTAAAAGATGACTCAGATATCCTGGAAAGAATACAGAAGGCGGCTGCCCGTGCAATTCCAGAACTCCGGGGTTTACTATACAAAGAGTGGCTCGAATAGATGGACCTCTTTTCCCTGTACTGTCGCAGATTAGGAGGTAAACTGATTTTGATGTATAGAATCAGTATTCTAAAATGATTTTGGACCCAATATAATTTCCTTTTTCTTCCCACTAAATCGGAACATCTAAGGGGCATAGAAGGCGAGTAAAAAAACAAGGACCTGTTACTCAAAGCAATGGTGTCCGCACCTTCAATTAACTCATTCAATAGAACACTGGACACTCACAGAAGCATACTGCAAAAGGAATAACATAGGCCGTAGGCCTTCTGTCTTTATTACACAAATCTGAATTTGGCGAATACGAAGGTTGACGGGGGCTGTACTGGTAATATTGGTACTGATGGTGAAGATTGCGTTAGTGTCGTAAGTGCTGTCACGGCGCAAACCAAGCATCTAACTGTGCAACCCGCAATTAAACCCTCCACCTAGAAACAATCAATGAGTGACACCTCATTAGATATTGGCGGCCATGTTGTTACAGCAGCAACTGGTGAGCCAGATAAAACAATTACTGTCCTGAGTGGTTATAATGTGGATGCTACGACTGATGGAATATGGATGACGCGGAAACGCAGAAGAGTAGGGAAGACAGCTAAAACTAATGACCGTTTACTTGATAAGTCCTTGGTGGACTCTCAGATCGCTCCGCCAAAGTCCCAAAGTAAAGCCTCATCTAACATTGTTGCGAGTCACTCGCTCGACTCCCATGACTCTGTTACAATAAAAACTAGTCGTAAAATACCAGTGTAGGATCCAAACTACGGTTTGGATGTTGAAGAATAGCCTCCCGTGACTTTAGACACGCGCCCTTTCCCGTCGAAATCAGAACAAGTAATCGGGTAACTAACGGTTCTATAATTCATAATAAATTTAATGTAAATCATTACCTAAACAAATATTATCACCCGGCTATTCAATCAATGATTGTTCAATCAATTAAATCTAAATTACAATAAATCAAGAAGTTGATAGAAGATGCAGGAAAATTACCAATCACCACAAATAAATGTTATTCTATCCTGTCTGGATAGATCACGTACAGATTCGTTCAAAAGGTAATAATTGGTCGCTCTATAACACAGAGTTTTTTCAATTCTGGAAGAGTGCTTCAATTCACAACCAAAATGCACAATTCCAGTCAACACAGGTCAAGCGATCAAAAGCAAGGGTAAACCAAAATGACTGCCGCCCAGACTTAGTATAAAGTAAAACAACATAAGTGCAGTTCGGGAAGAAACATGGGGAATTGGTGAAGGTGTAGTAAAAACGAAACTATAATAAAATACAAATATTAACAATTCAAATGTAGTCAAAAAGTTAACAATGTACAACTAAAAGAATCAATAGGAACAAAGTGTAAGTATATACATGGAGGGATTTTCACAAACACACAAAGCACTCAAAATGGATCTTATAACCAGTAGTTAATATGTAGGATCTAACGTCACAATCGAAAGCTCTGAATGCGATTTCAAAGGAAGCCAAACCCCTTCCTAGTTTAATTGTTTGGAATCTAGAGGAGTCGAAAGACAATGACCCTGATAAGAGACATGCCAATGATCTGCAGTTAGTGGAGTCTGTGGTAAGAAATATACTACCTGAAGTGGTCCATGGGGTGTATATCACGAAAGTAATACGACTTGGTAAATGGGTTGGAGGCAAGACCCAAACAAGAAAGATCTTGAAGCTGGTTCTAGGGAATTTTGAAGAAAGAGATATATTATAGAAAAACCCACAAAAACCCCGTGATTCAAATATCCGTATTCGACCAGATTGGCCGCTTGAGGATCTAATCAAGTAGAAGAATTCTCTTACGGAGTTGAGGACTCGCAAGTTAAATGGCGAAACTAACCTTACCACTAAGTGTTTTCGGGTAGTCAGGTCTTGGAAGCCAAAGCTTCCGAGGCCTTTATGGGTAGAACGATTGATTGCCAAAACACCTTATTTGTGTGCTACACGAACGCTCGTAGTCTTAGAAATAAAACGTCCGAGCTAAGTCTGATGGTGGAAGAATTATATCCCGATATATTCGTTGTTACAGAAACTTCATTCACAGTATATATAGACTGTTCTCCTTTCATTGCAGGCTATATCTGTATCAGAAGTGACAGAGTTTCAAGTCGCAAAGGGAGAGGTATAATATTATACGTTAGGGATCACTTTCGTAAACAATCAACCATATTTGAGGCTCATGTCAGTGGCACATGTGAGGTTGCGTATTGTAAGATTAAATCTAGAAATGGGTTAGTGACTATAGGGGGAATATACCGTAGTCCGTGTTGTATTGCTGACGACTTTATTCTAAGACACATCTGTTCTTGGAGTATGGCAGAATGTTGTCTCATCATTGGGGACTTCAACGCACCGCATATCAACTGGATAGAGCTTACAGCTCCAGGTGGAGGTTTCGATAGCGACCTTTTATCTACCGTTATTCAGTGTGCACTTGTAAAATGTATCACAAAACCGACACATATTGATTTGCAACATGATCCGTCACTGCTGGACCTCGCCCTCACCCACCAGTTCTGGGACCTATTCTTGTTGACAGGTCATGCATCATTTAAGCGTGAGTACCAAAAGTTCCGGAATATTTGTAAGAAAACCATAGCTAAATCCCGTACCACTTACGAACAGCAATCAGCATATGATAGCTGTACTTGTCCGAAACGATTGTTTTCGTATGTTAAACGGCGAATGAAACGTAGTGATGGTATTCCCTCGTTATTGTTGCACGAAAATTCAGATTTACTGCTGAATCAGATCGGGCAAAAGCTGAGACTTTTTCAAACCATTTTAGCGAAGTCTACTCTACGTTTATTTTAACAAATACGTGTCCCACTCACACCGAGATACCAACCATTGAATCTGTACAGGTGACTGAGGAAACTGTCCTTCCGTTGATAACTAACCTCAAACCTGGTAAGACACCGGGCCCTGAAGGATTACATCCACGGTTGCTGTCATTTCTTGAGGACATTATTTCTAGACCGCTCGCGACGCTATTCAATATGTCCCTTTCACTTGCTCAACTCCCTAGAGATTGGAAGGACACTAAAGTCAGTCCTATATTTAAGGATGGTCAGAAACAGATTGTATCTAAATACCGACCTGTCAGTCTAACTAGCATTGTTGTTGAGTTACTGCAAAAGATAATTCGGGTTAGGTTGCTAAGCCACATAGATTCACACAATCTGTTAGCTTCTGAGCAACATGAATTTCGTAACAATCCTTCATGCTTGACTCTCTTACTTATTGCGAGCCTTCCTTCTCTACGTTAATGAGTTACCACTGTTGCTTAGGTCGTCGACATTATCGTTTGCGGATGACCTAAAAATCTGGAGAACAATAAAAAAGAGGCTGATCATCTGGATCTTCAAGCTGATTAGACGATTTAGTTAAATGGACTCGAGGTTGAGGTTTAGAAATCAATGCTAGGAAGAGTGTGCTGATGCACTATTGATCTCTAAGGTCATAGCAAGAAGGTTCATAAACCAAAATCTAATAAACTTAAAGTGGGGTCCCGTTTTTCACATCGAGTAGTCAATGATTGGAACGCCTTACCCGAACAAGTGGTATCAGCCCCATCAGTGAATGTTTTCAAGGAGAAACTGGACCTTCACTGGAAGGCAATCTGTCAGGATTAACACAGGTTCATCAACCTACTATCCTTATTACTGAAGACTGAATCTGTCACTTTATGGTTAATCTACAAATGTGGAACAGATCATTTATTCAAGGAATGGATATAAACAAATATTATATAACATCGTAAATTTCTGTAAATATCGAGACATGGGACCGAAGAAACAACAATATTTACCTGTCGCACTTGTAATTGGTGTTCATTGAACACCGTTCTCCCGCGCGATACAAGTGCTTCAGTTGTTATCGCTTGTTAGGTAAGTTTGATAATGCCCATATACGTTTTTACTAAACAATGGTGTTTTTCAAATAGTTTGATGCGTTTAGAAACCCCGACGGACATTGAAGTCATTCGTAAAACTCGAACTTTAGAATTATTCATCCCATCGAACAGCAGGAGTTTGGGGTAAATATTGGTTACATGCGTTGAATTTGTTGTGGATATCGGCAAAAATACATCGACTTGTCTTTTGCACCAATCGAGGAAAATAGGGAGTATTCATACCAAAATTCTCTCTTTGAGCAGAGTTACCGAAATAAACACCCAGCTTTTAGCTTCAATCAAAAGCGGCGAGACTATAATTTATGGACGAACGAATCAGATACAAGATAAGTTACGAATTCGGGCGCGGAATTCATCTATACATTTGGCTAAATAGAGTTTTGGCATTATAGCTGATGTCACTTCTTGGTGAAAACTCTGGATCTAATTTTTAACCCTAACCATCAACTGTAAATGAGAATTCAAACTACTTTATAACCCTCATTTAGTCCTAATTAGTAGTTGTTCACTCTCGTGATCACTTTGGCGTCGCTTAAAGGTCGTCCATAAATTATAGTCTCACCTCAAAAGCAAATAGTCGACTTTTGTCGTTCAGTATTACCAAAATATCCATTTTCCTAACAGAGTCACTTCAAATAATCCACTTTTCTTCCAAATTTCGTTTGTATCCGTGAAAGTAAGGGGTTAACAAAATGTTTGCTAAGATTGTCATCGTTCTTCCATTTATTTTCTACTTATTGTCTCTTTTGGGTCAACTATTCAAAATGCTACAAGGCTTGAATATGAGAAACAGTCATTTCTACTGTCCTTCATTGACTTTGCTTGATCTTTGGTACTAAAGTTTTATTCGTTCTTGTTGTTACCTCCTGCTTGCGTTACGTTTTTGTGTTGATATAACGTGGTAAATCTTGAAACTGTTCATTAATGCATAGGTTTAATCCTCTATTTATGTACCTGTGAGCATTTCAGTCATTCTGTTACAATTGCTGTCATTTTTTATAACAACCAACATTTATTATCATATATTAAGCGGACGAAATCTTCATGAAATGTCCCAGATGAACACTAGTCACTTTCAAGTCATCAGCGTGATCTAACGAACCAAATATGCTCGGATCTCTTAGGTTACATTCACCGAACTTTTATACATTCTGTTGATTACCATAATGACTTTATAATTTAAATGAGTCTTGTATTGTTACCCATGGCCTGCGCCTTTAGTCAAATACACACACCACTAAGTTTCTTTTTGATGTGCTTTTGTCTGTCATATATTCTAAAGGAATTGGCCTTCCTAATGTTTATCGAAGTCATTCCATTCCAAATCCTTGACAATTTCGAAATTAACCGTAAAATCGCTGTGTATTTACTAGGATCATGTGATGATTAGAAGTATTTGAATTATTATACGAACTTAGAATCCCCGAAATAACGTAACTAAGGAAAAATAAAATTTAGCGAACACGAACGAACGTATTGTATTCGGAAATCAAAATCAGGCGGTCTAAGGAATCATTAGTTCATACAAACACCCAAGATCAACTTCTCTCAAGAACCATATAGAGTCTGGGTTAGTGTTAGTGAACACCATCCGACTGAGCACAAGCTTTCTTGATCAGGATGCCAGTTTATAAATCCTCTGTTTAACGTGTGTTTTGGAATTGAAACTAAGGCTTTCTACTGGACTCGTTAAAAGATTACAGTGATACTGATATTTTAATTAGCCCTAAAAAATAGTGTCTTTACTGTACTGCTCATTGATTTTTTAAGTTACTGCTAACCGTGAAGTTCTGATTGGTGCTACTATTCAAAATAGAACTTCGATTGAAACACTGTCTGGGAAAGTTTTCTGAATTGATCTATTAAAGCAAGGGATATGGCCCCCTCGAACTCTTCTAAATTACTGAATTTCTCACACTGAAGTTGCAGTCATTTGTGATAAAATTTCTTTCCTAACCTGGTTCTAATGCAGGATCTTCTTAATATTCTTTAGTAAACCCAAAATATCGAGCATGAAAGTTATAATCTCAATTTGTTACTTGGGTTATTAGGAATTATGTGAACAGTCTATTCAGCGAGGCATTGTCTGTCATATACCACAAACTAACCAACCATAGGATCAGCAACTGAGAACGTTCCTGTGAGTCAATGAGGTGTTTTTCAAAGCAGACTAGCCATAAAACGCGGCGTTTATTGCCCATGTTCAATTAGGCACTTTAATTAGCAAGTGCCAATTTTCTTTTGTTTATTAACATATCTAGTTACAGTCACAAATACACAGTATGTGCGTGGTTTGCACTAATAGACATAATAACCCCCAGAGCTCTATTAGATTACATTTTAAAGCATGTTTTTCATCATTTTCATGCGAAAACGAAGTGTTAAACGTAACTAACTAAGTCTTAAGTTCAATAATTATAGTCATTTGTAGCAAATGCAAGTCAATTCCTCGAAAAACCTATGTATCAACCATTCAGTAGCTCAATGATACTCCTCAAGACCATGTTAGATGGTATGGTTTTATTCAGCTACTTATGGCCCTAATATTTGACACATAACATGTGAGGCCGATTGAGAGATATCTTACTTTAGCATTTCAAACAGGTATCTATGTTTTTGGAATAAATATTATCCTTATACATAAAAATACTCCATAAAAGAACAATTTAAATCATATTATATCTGTGCGTACGGTTACCTATGTATGGCTAACCTGACTTGATAATTGTAAAATACTAGTGATATATTGTTATACTGAGTATTTCGATAGTTTCATTTTGTCCACTTAGTGACTAATTGTACTTCTGTCGCTTTCTCACGATCATGTTACGGTTTATGTATTTATCATTATCGTAAATATTGTTTGTCTCAATAACTATGGATATTTGGTGAACCTTTATTTCAGCCGTAATTTAAAACCGATATACGTTTTGAGTGATAGTGAATGAATCTCCAAAAAATTATATTTGACGACCTCGACAATTTACACTCAAAATTAGACATTCTCATCAGATATTCCAAGAATGGTTTCCGTTTGGCAAATGTGCTTACATTTCGTACTGAGGTGAGTTTGGTATTCGTGACTATAACGACACTAATTTGGGCTACTTTGTTAACCATTTCCGAATTATTTTCAAAAAATACTGATAAATGTTAATGGAAACCAGTTTTCAACCTTTGAAATCCACTAAATAGTAATGTAGAACCGAAAAATCTACCAAATATACTCATTAGTTAAGAATAGACTATACTACCGAAATGCTCAAACTGGTATATAAATTTCTACGTTTCAGCTGGTAGTAAGCTTCTTGTGTTGCAAAAAGATAATCCCGAAATTATTCTCTCCCCTAGGTTTTTGTAAGATGAGAGAGACTGTTAAGTGCGAATCGAAGAAAAGGGAACGAATTCATTTTAGGTTATTAATCATAAGATAATAACTTTCAAAGATACCGACGTCATTCATTGAAACGACTGATTTTCGACATTAACAACTCAGTGCAATGTTAAAGACTCGAGTAATATTAAATTCAAGGCTTACTGCCAATGGAGAGTTTCTTCATGTTGGCTTTTACGGCTTGACATCTAACTCAGCTTTTCTCAAATCCATATATCTATTATGTATTCTCGAAACGTGACGAGAATTTGCTTATAGTGTCTAACAAAATAACGTACGGTTCAGCTGTCTTGTGAGTGATTGGGACCTAAAACTCCTCAAAACTCTAGCCAACTCTGTGGCAAATCCGAACCATCCGACGTCACTGAAAGCATCCATCCAAATAAATAAACTCTATCCATCATCTGTTACTTACTGTGTATTTTTATCTTCTTAGGAAACTCCTTGTTGCTGCGATGATTGCTTTTTAATTAACTGAATAAAATTGTCATGTAATTTAATGACAAAAGGTTTTGGCTTAAGCATTCCAAATTAAAAATCCAGTGATCACATTTGCTATATATTTACTTCGATTATTTAATCTTAAAAATTAATTGAATACGTATCCAAGATATTGAGTACCGAATATTTACGAAGACGTTTATTATGGACACTCGACTTTCAACGTTCAGGCAGCAAGTTTGAGTCCTCTTCCACTTATCCCAGTTTAGATGTCCATGTTATAAGTATCACAAGGTTACAACAGTAAAACTATGTATTAGGCATCAGGTGCATAAATATGAGCTTGATAAATGAGTTAAAGTAAATAAACAAATGTGCCATTGACATGCTTTCTCCAGAATTATATATATGGCCCTCTTTCACGTTTGCAAACTTTCAGTTGAAGTTATTTCAGGACTACTGCCAAAGAATCCTGGGACAGATTGAACTATGGATAATAAACTTTTTGTACACCAGTAGTCCGTATAAAGAAATTAGTTTTTGGATTGAAGACACCAGTGATTTTGGAAACTCTTTTGAGGTATGTGATGTGGAGTGGCTTTTATTTAGTAGTTAGTTTGTTATAACTGGCAAACAGTTGGATGATTTTTTCACGTATTTCACTTTTTTATATATGTCCAAGTCACAATTTAAACCATATTTATTATCAGTTCTATGGATAGCTTTTTAGTAGGTGAGACACCTCTGATCTATCGTCTACGTTTTTGATGCGCACTGGGGATTTATCTAAACAATATACGAATCGCGGTGATGGTTACGCTAGGTTTGAATCTGGATGATTTATTAGAAACAGTATATTTGAGTGAGACTTCTTAGACATTCCGTATTTAACAGTTTGTCAATCGCCGTATAATTACCAATGAAACTTGCTAATAAAAACTAAATTTTGCACTAATCCACGCTCAGGAATGCTTGCATATACGTCCATATGATTAGTTATCCCATTTGTTTATATATCAAATGACAACTTCATTTATTTTTCCGTGAAATAATGAAACTATTAGTTATGCTCAGTTGAACTGTTAACAATTTAATCTTGCTGTTATTCTGCGGCCTTAGACAAAGTATTCGTTTATATACTATCAAAACATATGGATAGTATAGACGATTTGTTAGAGTTGTGTACCCTGACCTGAATGGTTTCATTGTGAAACTTTCATTGCTCTTCTAGACAGTAATAACAATCCATTCAAATCAGGCTTGACAGGAACAAGTTGTTATTTATGTGTCGATAAATCCAAATAACTCACTTCTATCTGAAGTTTGAGTTAATGTTCCTGTGCACAAAGACAATCGAAGCTTCGAGATTAGATCACCAAGTTCAGAGTATGCAACTCCACCCATATAACGGATGGAGCCTGTGTTTATAGTACCTCACCTACATTTTAATCTCTATACTTTGATTTTATTAAGTCCTTCAATTAACTTGTGTAACCGATAGTGCCATTCGGTTATTAATAGTTTATCTGTATCTTTGTATTATAACTATCATGTTTTTATCTGCATCTATACTTGAACACGGGTTACAGCCTACGGACATATTCCTCTTACTAGCAAAAAAGCCAGTTACTTAAATTGTTCAGTAATTCATCCGCTTGCTCATATGTATGTGCTTTTTAAATCCTGTTCATTCATCCACATTCATATATCCGTTCGTATTCGCCTCGTGTCCCTATGGCTTTGGGGTCTGAGCTGTACAGTAATAAACTGTAGTCTTTGCTTCACATTATCTTCTGAAATGTATACACCATTGGAAAGTTATTTTATAATGGTTATCAGGACGAGTAATATATGAATGAGGAATTATCATTCGGAAATTTCATTACGTGGTTGCTGATTATCGAGTTCGATTCTCAGTTATTCTGTGCCTCAGTAATTATGAACACAGTCGCTAACTGTGGAATCCAAGATATATCTTTCATCCTATTTGAGATTTGTCAGTTGAGTGTACTCGCATCTCAGTTTCGCTTTTCACACTGATATTGTAACCCGGAACTTACTGCCTATTGTCGGTATTCTGGGCTAAATTTGATCTGTCACTATCGATACATGGGTCTATAGACTTGAGTATCAGTCTTAATATCACCACTTATTCATCCAAAACGGAAATCTAAAACAGAACGCAGAAGGCGTCCTGAATCCCACTGCTACCCACTGTTTATGACACAAACCTTTACAACTGGTGATAAATATAATATGTTTTGAAAATGTTGACGGCAATAGTTGCTCTATGGTCTAATGAATAACGCTCTAGCATTTGGTTGGAGTCTCAACGTGAACATTAGCATTGGGATACTGGAACGTTCTCATGTGACGAATTCCAGATACAGTAGAGTACATTCTAGAAATTGCGGCTAGTTAAAGTGTAATCAATTAATAAACACAGACATCGGAGGATTCGTTCAAGCAGCCCATAGTGTCAACAAAGATTGAATAATCTTAAAGAGAGCAAAAACGAAGATTGGTGCAGAATACATTTAGTTCTGAATATCAACAAAATAAAGATAAATCTTACCAATTAGTATTACTTATGATACAAACTTGGTGTATAGCTTTAGATTGTTAACAGACAAGCTAGTATGTTTATCAGTGTTTCACTTAAAGGAGTAAGTTAAGTTTTTTTCCTTGCATATATTTATTTTGTATTATACTGATCCATTAATATATACGACCATTTTTTATATGTTTTCACTTGTCGTTACACTTTTCCGTTTAAAAATGTCTGCAGAGTTTCATAAAGTCACTCGCTATGTTGCAGAATATTATTGAATCATCATACAAACTCATTTTTACTACAAACATAAGTGATGTGATATCATTTGATAGTGCGCAGCATGAACAAATGTATTCTTTCGAAAATATTCAAGAAAGAATCAATTCTCTACATTTAGATTATTTTTATGAAGTAAGTGAAACTATTGCAACATATTGTTGTCCGCTTATTATTATTACCACAACTTTCATTATCACTGTTATTTAGTTTCGACACAAAGATTTCCTATTGGCTACCTACTGAATACATGTGATATCCACTGTACATTAATAGTTTACTTGGCCAAGTTAGTTGTCGTTTCATCTAATATCAGACATTTATAGGATATAAATATGATCATGTTGTTCTAAATGTGATATTTGTTTTGGGTTAAACCAAGGCATGACATAAGTCCACTAAGTAGTTGTGGATAGTCTATGTGGTTAGAGGGAGGTATGCGAACATCTCTGCTGAAACCCGGGGCGACAGTCGTTATATATGGCTGAGAATGTTATACGACATAAAATTAAAAGCGAATCGTCTATCGCAGTGTGCTTATTTCTAAAAAAAAATAAACAGATAAGCATACTTGGTTTAGTTTAAAGCAAGATCGTAGATGGATGTTGAGTTGTAAATTTTATGGTTTTCTCTCACTGCATACGCTAAGATTGCCATTTATATATCCATCTACTGTTTATAGAAGTGTGGACTTACTGTCTTAGGATCCGAATAACAACTGCTTTCTTTCAGTCTGTTGGCTATAATCAATGTAGAGCCTGGGAAAAGTGCTTGTTCTCCTAAGTCGCTATATCACCACAAGATAAATATCAAAGAAGTCTAAGAAATTTTAAAAGTAGTAATAGTGAGAAATACCAAACATTAAGAATATGGTTTGACAAGATAAAATGAAAAGGTATGTATGAAGAAATACTGAAACTCATTATCTAAAGTGAGATAAAGAGTGAATCCACCTCTCCCAGTGTGAATAATTCTGAGCCATTCCACCCAAAGGTTCCAACCACTGATCGTGGTTATCGTAAGGACTCTAACCAGATATCCTTTACTTACTAGCGTAACTCGGACCTCCAGTCCAGAAATTCCATGGACTAATACCACGTTTTGTTTTAGCTCCTTCTTAACTTTCTTACAACTTACTCCTACACCATCAAACGTTTCCCCTAGAGGTAGTAGTAGATACACGTAACGCATATCCAAATCTCAGCTGATAAAGACTCGTAACTTCATCAAACGACCTATACTTAATACTTTGTATCGACATCGTTCATTCGGTCGTTCTATGATGCTCAAATTGTTCTTTAATGGAACTTATGACCAAAAGTCTACAGCCTACGTATGTCCTCAAATTTCATAGACCGTGTTTTACAGTCATAGAGTAACATAGAGCGGACTTCTGCTCCGTTGGCTTCTCTCTGGTTGCCAGACGGCTATCCATCATCCGTCACAAACGATGGGAGTTGGTGGAGACTTACGGTTGTATCCCTCGGAAATACGCTAAACTAGTGTAGGTGAATTTATTTTGTTTATGTTTATTTACGTCCTAAATACGATATGACGGTAAATGCTTAATTGCCCGATTTTATTTACTTTTTACTTTCAGTTTCTTCTACTGTTATTCTTAGTCTGTTCACTACTTTGCTTTTCTTTTTATCGATTTCCCGTCGATTTACTAATATGAAGTGTAAACACAGAAATCGATATGCACTTGTACCAGATCCGACGATGTTTTCCTGACGTAGCTGTTCAAATTATCATGCCAAAGGGCATGCAAAAGAAAGAGGTAGATCAGATTTGCAAGACAGCTGTATAAATAAAACATCGCCGATATGAAAAGGAGATAGCTTCAAACCACTCAACTATAGTTATATCTCTTGACACTGAGTCGACATTTAGCTCTGCTGACTGATAGGTTCTATAACAATGTTTGTCATTAAAAGTCGTACCAATGAAGTACAAACTTGTAAAGGCTCTCTACTTAGACACTATCAATCTAGTTAGAGCTTATGGCAAACTGTTAACCTCAAGTGTTGTCTATCAAAGTGACTCACCTTCCCCAGTTTTATTCAGTCTCGTTGTCAACGTCTTCCTAAAATTAACATTTTCCTTAATTGCCTTTTCAAAGGATTGATCACTAGGAGTTTCGCTCGCTGACTTAACATACGCTAGTGACTCAGTCTTATTTGGTGGATGTGCTAACAATATCCAGTCTTTTAATCGCCTTGATCAGCAGTGCTAGCATGTTTGGGATGAACTTCCTTCCCTCTAAACCTATAAGACACAAAAATACATTTGTCCGTTAACACATACGTAAGTACTCCTAAAACCGAAGGCGAAACTTTTAACATGAAGAATAATTCCTCATTTTCGTAGAACGCCCTGTGAAGTTCTAGAATGACAGTGAGATTTTAATGGTTAACTTCTCAGGATTTATTAGCAAATCAGTAGCTTTAGTTCCGTTCTTCCAGAATAGATCAAGGATTTCATCATTTCAGGATAGATATTATTATTAATAAGAGGCTTTTTTGTGGTAATTAGGTCTAATCCTGTTTAGTCTTTGCCTTGTTACTACACGATGTTTCAAGTGGATGAGGTAGATTTTGAAAAAATACGGGCTATCTCTCCTATGTCAAGTGTATATATTCACTTGATGATAATTTTCCACAGTAAACCTATTAAGTGCAATGTATCATAACTGTTTATATTTATTTGTGAACTTGTTTACTCTCGCGGATCATGTTATAATGGCTCTAATTTTTTTCTACTTAAATTCGCATACTTTCTAACTTGTATCTTTCTGGTATGCTGGGATTTTCTGATGAATTTTTCTGAATTAAACATAAGTTATTCAAAGTTAGTATACGTCAATTATTTAAATACATAGAATACTTTGTTCTTGAACCCCTTATTTTTTTCTGGAAACATATATTCCCAGTCTAGTGTAGATGTTATTAATGCTTCTCAACCCTGAATCTTATACTGATTAGGTATGAATTAGGATTTCATATTTTGGAAGACGTGAGTGGGTTGCGGCTCACTAAGTTGACATTTAACTGATTAATTAGGAGGGAAATACAATAGGGAAATGTATAACATGTTTCTTTCAAAGTTGATAGTATCTGGAAGTTTTGTCTTGTATATTTCTATTTCAGAAGTCTAAAACCGATGTGATTAGTTCAAATAGAAGGCGATTTCATCTTCAGTATACAAACCTGATAGAAGCATTGGATTTGCACGATAACTACAGTAGTTCTCCTAACTTGTTTTATGGAAATAAGAACACAACAAAAAACTCCGAAATAGATTTACAGTACGATGGCTATATTTCTAAGTAAGTTAGGATATATGGAAGAAGAACAGTGTGTTTACATTCTTTTTCTCAAATAAAACTATTGATCAACTTGACTATTTGAATTAAAACTTCTGCATAGTTCATTTTAGTTGATCTCCCAAATATATGGGGTAGTTGTTCACCAAAGACTATTCTTCCGTAATCACTGAATGTTATACTTTGTAATATAGTTATAAGCTATTAGTATCAGTTTAATTGAATAATCAGTGTGGAAATAAATGTATTTCACCAATCCTTACATGTTTATTGCATGAATACATCACATAATGGTTTCGAAAGTCAGGGTGTTAGAGGTGATTGGTAAAAAGCCCAAGACCTAGGAGGCTCCTCAACACACACACAAACAACATTACCCTAATTAGTGTACCAATCTCGTCCATGTTCTGCAAATTTCCCCCTCTACCTAACGAAACCCACTGCGAATTTTCCCTTTGTATTTAGTTTTCTAGCTAGAGGTTTAACACGGAAAATATCAGTTACACCTTACGCCCTCTAAACTAATTATTTACTCCTATATGTCAGCGTGTCCACCCCAAAAAGTTGATTCAAGCCAATTGTATTTTTAATTCCCATTGAAAAATACTTTGTTACTAAAACTGTATTTCACACCGTTCAAGTAATAAAACTACATATATAATCGCTTTTCAGATTTTTTTTTCTTGTGTAGGAGTAAAGCAGAAATCCAGTACGCGACTCTTTTGTAATTTAATTAGGTTTTCCTTAGTTACACACACTGTTTAGTCATTTCTAGACTATTCTTGCGAAGACAGATTATTCAGACTAAAACCTGCTTATATATTTAGATGTTTCACATATCTGTTTACTTAGTTAGATCTATGTATCATTTTCAAATTCTTACATCGCTTAACATTGAACCAAGGACATTCATATCATACAGATGATATACCGTTTACAAACTATTGTCTTTAAATTCACCGGTAGATCATGGAAGTAAATATGAATTTGTATTGTTCCATGTTTCTTGATTTCCGATGATTAATTAAAAAAAATAATTTGAATCGTTACTTTAATTGCTCGATCTTCATAGCATTGTAAAACCTTGTTTAAATTATTCTTTACTATTTAACAGAATGAAGTATACATTGTATATTGTTTGGAATCTAATCACTGATTTTTACTGGTTTTTATTGGGTTCGAAATTGATCAGTCTTAATTCTGATTTAAAGAATAACAATGAAATATACAATAAAAAAGATGTAAGTGAATTTCAGAAATTTTCGTAAGTGTTACGATTTTGTTTTCATATTAGACATCTGGTTATCTTACCATATTTTCAAGTAATTTCATTACTGTAATCCCATATACCAAGTTACCAGTTTCAAATAGGCTTGTAATCAGGTTAATCCTTAGTTCATGTTTCTTTCTGTTATGAATAACTAATATCTAGTGGATAAATCAAGATAAATTGAATAAAGTTTTAACAATTAAAATGACAGGTATTGGATTTCATTGTTATTGATAATATAGACACAAACTAGGGTCATAATAAAGAAATGATACATCTGTTAAATCTCAATGGTCAGAAAATTAAATTTTTAGTGTTTCCCAACCTACTATAAGTTACTTCTTCAGAGAGGAGTTGTCAAATCAATTCAAGTTTAAATAGTATAGAGCAACAAAATAAACTATTCGATACAGCCCAAATGATTCGTATTATACTGATGTCATATTATCCAGGTTAAAGGTGAGACAATATGTGAGTGTACATTCAGGTATATCTAAGTAGGTGTGAATAGTCGGTATTTACTCTCTGAAGCAGTCGCTAAACATCAGAAATTTAATTTTCTGTCCACTGAATCATTACAAGTAAATTAAAATGACCGATTATTATATCATTGAATAAAGAGAATTCAGCAAAGAAAATGATCTTTTTCGACGAAATCATTTACTTAAGTTGTGCATTCGTATTTATAGTTCAATGGTAAATATATGTCTACAGAAGGATAGAAAAGATTGCATCATAAAATGGTTCGAGACTTCAAATATCAATTGAGGTTGGAGAACAATGGAAGGATAAAAATAATTTAGGGGTTAGAATCATGAGAGATAAAAATGTCCGCTTAACAAATATGAAGAAAAGTGGAAACAACATAAAGGTCATAACAATAGCTGAATAATAATTATGGAAAAAATTGTTAAAGGATAATAAGAACAGATTACGGTTTAAAATTACAAAACAATAATTTAAAATAAGCAAGACTAATACATCATACAGAATGGAATCGGGTCATAGAAGAATTAGAGGTTGGAAGTATCGTTTTTACATGCAGAGTTTGGACTTGAACTGGTTGATCGCCAACTCCTCAGCAATGAATAAGTTTTTGATTTGACCTTCCTTCGACCCAGGTTCATTGATTGCATAGATTATTTTGAAGGTAAATTCCTTTGAAGCGAAGTGTTCAGAGTCGATTAAGTGCTCCTGTATTTAACTGGTGATTGTTTTGCATTCTTCTTTTAAAAGTTACGTTGATTAATGTTATGAAATGCGTTTGGAAAGTGATTGCTTTGTGCGGCCAATATAACCTGCTCCACTGGAACAAGTAAATTTATAAATGCATATCGATATGCACTTTATGGTACAATCTTTTCTATAGACCTATATTTATCATACAAATACAAATGTACAGCTTAAGTAAATGATTCCGTCGAAAATAGAATTTTCTTCTCTAATATTATTAAATTATGAAGTGATTTCGGAAAGCATAGATAAACATAAATTTTTAAGGGAATATATTATACATTTAAAAAAATATTATTAAAACACGTACATCCAGTTAACAAGTCCCAAATAGGACGAAACGCGTATCCTGAATTTCACTACTAGCCACTATCCATCTTTGCTTATGATACTTGTGAATTAAAGCAATATCGAGTCAATACACACAGTATGCACATATGCCAATAACAGACTGGTCAATTGCAATCCTAAACATCAATGGGAAGTTTCGATAATGTAATAAGAACATGGAGATCATCAGAACTATGTGATGATATATTAGCGCAATACATTTCGAACAATCTCATCATACATAATATACATGTTGAGAACATTTGTATATAAAAATAAAAGGTCAACTAGACTGGTGTTGTATAAAAGTGTAAAAGGGAGTATACTAAGGTTTATTGAAGCCTTAGTCATACGAAAATTCAAACCCCCTTTGTGTATTCAAAAACAGTTTGTTCTCACCTTAAAGCTACGCTGGTAATATTGGATTATAAGTCCAGAGTGATTAGGTTTCAAATTGTGTTCACATTATTATTATTATTATTCTTGTCTTCTCTTACCCCATTTCCAGTCTAGTTGACCTTTTATTTTTATATATAAATGTTCTTAACAAGTATATAGTGTGTAATCAGATTGTTCGAAATGTACTGCGCTAATATATCATCATCACATAGTTCTGATAATCTTCGTCTTCTTCTTATTACATTATCGAAATTTCTCAAAGGGACTAATTGCTTTAAATCAATGAGAAGATTCAAACAACTAATACAAAAATGAATTGAACATTAAAACTTATTATTTCTGTTATCCAAGAAAAAATACAATTCATTGATTGATTCAAGTGTAAATTTCTTTAATTGTTCATTTAGTGATAACATTCTAATCAAATCTAACTTTTGTATCCATCTACTTATGAACTAAAACTCTTATTTATTGAATACCATTCATAATGAAATCATATTCATTTATGATAAAGACTAGAATATCCAGTTTTATATATTAAAATACTGATCAAAGTCTTTTAATTATCAATGTAAATTAATGTAATCACTAAAGTAAATCAATATTATAGGTTTAGTTCAATTGATTTTTTTGTTCCATTTTTTTATCATGAAAATATTGAGTGTGAAATTACTCTAAGCAGTATTTGTTATAATGCTCGGTTTTCACTTCATCTACATGTATGGGATATTAATTTACCTTAGATGAATATCTACATTAGATTCCCTTCCCAGTGTCTATTGTACAGGATTTCAATACATCTCAGATGATCAAGAACATGTGATTAGCCTGACTAGAACTTAAATATATATTTCCACACCAAAAACCTGACACAATCCAACAACAATCAACTATTAATAATAATAATAGCCTAGGATAACGCGACAATTTCTTATTCTTTCTCTCCCTTTAGTTATTTTAATTGTACTTTTATTTGTTTGACCTTTATTAATTTTCATATAAAAATGCCTTGACAAGTATATGTGTGACCAGATTGTTCGAAATGTATACCGCAAATACATCACATGTTTCAGATCAACTCCGTCTTCTCATTGTTCTATCGAAATAATAATAATTAGGATAGGGGAATATATAACTCATTTAACAGCTTCCAGACTATCTGCATGCCCACACATCAGTAGTATTTATAAGTTATATAAGTAAAAACTTTAGGAAATTTAAGCAAATACAAAATACTGTTTGATTAGCAACAATTTGTTTTTGATATACATACTTTGTATTTTGATCTTTTCTTTTATCGAAAATTACTATTCGTAGGTTTGATTTGATCATTTCAAATAAATTAAGTATTGGGTAGATTGTTATCAATAAAATAAAAGTAATATATTTGTAAATATCTTAATGAGTAGAAAAATTAGAAATTTCTGATTCAGTGTAAGCCGCTTCTTCAGAGAATAAATAATCCAACTTAGATTAATTTTGATTTGGTTATTTATTCTCTGAAGAAGTGGTTTACACTGAGTCATGAAACATCAGAAAATTCTAATTTTTTTACTCATTGAGATATTACAATTGTATTATTTACTTTATTGGTTTGAATTGTTTAACAATGTCATTTCTGAGTTTATTATCAATAAAGTATAAATTTTTCTTTGGTTTTCGATAAGCTTAACTATTCATTTCGAAATATAAATTTAATATTTCTCGCCAAATAACCACTTACTTACACCTGTTACTCCTCGTGGAGGAGCATAAACCACCCACCAGCACTCTCCATCCAACCCTGTCCTGGACAATCCTTTCTAGCTCTCTGCACTTGTTATTCATCCTTTTCATATCTGCATCTATTTCCCAACGAAATGTGTTCTTTGGCCTTCCACTTTTTCGCTTCCCTTCAGGAGTCCAAGTTAGGGCTTGCCTCGTGATGCAATTTAAGGATTCTCGTAGCGTATGTCCTATCCAATTCCAACATCTTTTCCTAATTTCCTCTTCAGATGGAAGATGGTTTGTTCTCCCACAGTAGGCTGTTACTGATGGTATCCGACCAATGGATGTTGAGTATCTTGAGTAGACAACTATTTATAAATACTTTTACCTTCTTGATGGTGGTTGTTGTAGTTCTCCAAGTTTCAGCTCCATACAGTAGAACTGCCTTGACATTCGTACTGAAGATTCTCAATTTGATATTGGTTGACAGACAGTTGTCTTGAGTTCCATATTTTCTTCGATTGAAGGAATGTGGCCCTTGCTTTGCCAATCCTCACCTTTACGTCTGCATCTGATCCTCCTTGTTCATTGATGATGCTTCCCAGGTATGTGAAGGATTCTACATCTTCCAGAGTTTCGCCATCAAGTGTGGTTGAGTTTGTGTCCTCTGCGTTGTATTTGAGGATCTTGCTTTTCCCCTTGTGTATGTTGAGGCCTACTGATGCAGAGGCTGCTACTACACTAGTCGTCCTCATCTGCATTTGTCCGTGTCTATGCGATAGGAGGGCTAAGTCATCTACGAAGTCCAAGTTATCTAATCGGTATATTTAACAACGAATCTTCTTAATTATTACAAATCAACATTCAATACATTTCAATATTTTCTCAAATATTCATTTTATTCTTATGGGAAAATGTTTAATCTTTAATATTGTCGATTCATAATTTCATCAGCCTTATTTAGTTAGTACTAAAACAAGTATACAATTCTGTTGATTTGTGTACACTGAAAGTAATTATGATTCCTATTTGTTACTCCAACTTTGGATTGACATTTTTTTAAGAAAAGAAGATTAATTAATGATTAAAACAATAGAAAAAATATCATTACTACTATTTTAGAGTTGATCTTTCTAGGTAATATAAGATGGAAAAGAAGGTGCTATCATAATCTACTCGTTACAGTGTTCAACCAATTAAGAGTACATTCATTTAAATGATGTTTTCAATGAAAAATAGTGTATATAAACAACTATGTAGTTGGAAAGGTCATATATATATATCTTAAGTCTTGTGTATATGTGAAATTCATTAAATCCAAATAAACTATGCTAAACAAATGAATTTGTAGCCAAATTAAAAAGTATATTTATAGTGATCATAAAAATTCTGTTTTAGAATATGTCTATGTCATTTACTGATCATGAATGAGTTAAGTCGATTACATATCTTGGAAATCATCTACTTTTTTTATAGAAAAAATGAGTTGATGGCCAGTAACATCTCATTATGACAATACTGAGAATCATATTTAACTTTTGTCAGTTTAAGCCACATGTCGCGTTTAAGAAATATATCTTTTCATTAATTCTCATCCTACACAACTTGGCTTAACTTATTTGCTCAGTAAACATTTCAAGAATCTATAGCTAGGTATATGTCATTCAATTCTTAATTTGTAAATATATAGGATTGAGAAGATTGTTGAGTTTCATTGAAATGATGAACCGACCAATTTTAGACCACTATTCAAAATATGGAAGCACTGGACAACTGTTTCGTCCCAATGTTGAATTCCTCAGGAGTGCCTATACACGATCTGATACGCAGGAATTAAATCCAACATTGTTAGTGTCTAAATTCAGCCAATCCATGATTTTGCGTGACCGTCTTCCATCGTCTTCGGTAGGTAACTGCCTCACACCCGACACGGTTGAACTTCACTGGTCACACCTTCTCAATAGGATCCCGGTAATTTCCTCTAGAAGCACATGATACTTTTTAGTATAGGCTTGTGGAGATTGTTGAGTTTTATTGAAATCGTCTCGATTCAACTTACTCATTCACATTATCCACCGAAATATATTTTAATGAATTAATAAGTAAAGTTTTTATTACCAGTCAATTAAATGGTCAACAAAACTCAGTAATCACTTGTGGACGTACAGTTCTTAATCTATAACTAGCTGAAATCATCCAGTTTTACACTCCGTGTTTCTTAAACAAGTCAGCTGAATTATAATTGTTGGAGGTCAATACCTGATTTTCTCGATCGATCAGTCGTTTCTAATTAAACGTCGTCAGATTATAACATCAAATAAAAATGAAAGGGTATTCAGTCTCTCGATCATTTCCAATCACTTCATACTCAGGGTCTACAGTAGATTGGAGTATAAATAATGATTGATAACTGAGTAGTAAACAGTGTCCTTTTTTTCTAGTTTCTTTTAATGCCAATCGGATTCTGTATATCACGTTACAATATGGCCATTAGTTTAAATGATTCGACATCCCGTGCATTATATTTTAGTGTTAGGTGGCTGGAGGTATCCGGAAGGAATTCCTTCTTAAACTATGTTTTATAGTAGTTGAAACTTGTCTTCAGGCATACTTACAATCAAATAATAAGATCTGCTTTAAAATTACAACTTTTGTAAAGGCGTTTTGGTGTGAATTTAATATATGGACGAATCAATCAGATTTAGGAATACAAGTCTTGGATTTGGCACGAAATACATTCATCCATTTGACTAAATAATATTTTGGTATTTTAGCTCATGTTAGTTCGTGATGAAAACCATAAACATAACTCCTAACCCTAACCATCAACTGTAAATCATAATTCTAATTCCTCACACTGATTCATAACCCTCATTTACCCCGTGTAAGTGGGTGGAAATTTCCAATGTCACTTTAGCGTCGCTCAAAGGTCGCCCATAAACTATAGTCCTACCACCCTTTTCCTTCAAAACTATTCACTGTTGAATGAATCGTCTTGATGTGATTCAGATACACCCATATGATAAGACCCAAATAGAACAAAACATCTCTCCTTGATTCCACAGCTATCCACCATCCAACTGTGTTTGTAATACTTGTGACTTGTGGTAATTCGCAGAAGATTCACATATACCAGAAGTGACTGATGAATTACAGTCCTAAACACTAGTGAAAAATTCAAATAACCGGTACAAATAAGTGATTCATTTTGATAGTTTTTTGTAAATTTCATCTAATTTACTTTTTTAATTCAAAATTTAGTATCAACTTAATAAATGGACTGGTACTATTCACCTTAGTTAACGTTAATATTTTCATTAGTATATAACTAAATTAAAACAACAAACCATTCTTCTTTGTTCAAAATCATACAAAGAATCAAAGTATGCTCGAAACGTATTCGCGTAAACCTAGACCCTATTCTAAGACGGTAGTATTAGACAATGATACCTATATTTGTTAATCCGTTTCATTCATTCAATTAGTCATTACTTTACCTATATTTTGGATAATGTTAGATCATTTTAATAATCGTTTTTTTTCTCTTCTTCTCCTCCTTCTTTCTTAAGTCGCACAATTGTAAATCATTGTTCATTTTGTTTATTTATTTCATTTAGATGATAGTTATTCAAGCTAATCATAAACAAAGAGTATTCAACAATTTATTAGATCATCTAACATGTTATCAATGTGTTGTATTACTCAAAGATATTCATCTAAAATATATACCTTGTAATTTAATTACATTTTATAATGTTAATTATGTGCATCACAATTTAAATTTAATGAGAAATGATGAGAATAATTATATAAGTAAGTATAAATAATAACTTATACATTTATGTAATTACTTCTGTTGTGCACGATTGTTGTTGTTTTTTCCAGATTCCTACTGATGCATTATAATGTTTGATCTTTATTTACAATATGAAGACGAGTTTAAACTTTTCGTAAAACCCATATTGTTCAATATGAAAGTCTTGTTTATTTATTTATTTAAACACATAAACACTGGTACAAGGAGGCACCAAATAGATGTGTGTCATATGAATCATTCGATTTGTGTGAGGGCTGGGATACTGTCTGGGTGCCCAAACCGAAGCAGGTGGTTTTATTTGGGGGGGCATACCCGGAGCCTTTGACCTACAGGTCTGATCCACAAGGCTGTGGATCAACGTGAGGAGATGTATTCCCATGGTAGCTTGTGACCAACGATTGGTTCATACTCCCTTTGTTACCTCAAGATCCTGGAACCCATGTACACCATTGGTTTGGAATTAGGGTTTCCCAACTCCCCTAGGTGGATTCTCCATATCCACTAACCCGGTTAAAGCGCCGGACATTCGCTTTTTGTCCTCTCAATTTCGTAAACGACAGTAAGGTTGCGAGAAGGCAATGAGTGGGACTTCTCTGGCAATGACCATGTGAGAGCAGTTGGAGAGGGAGAGCTGACTCTCCACACTCTCAGCCGTACCAAGGCATTTGGGTGCAATATCAAAGTCTACAAAATTTCAATGTGCATACCATTAATCAAGTATATTGATTGATATACTCCATTTTAAGTTACAAGTCTTGCCGTAAGGACTAGTACTAATACCAACTAGACGTAATAAACCATGGGTAGGTGAAGTAAGTTTAGAATATGCAACTAACTGATTAAATAACAAATGTTTTCACCTCAAAATTATAACTCTTTACAATTCTTACTGTACAAATGACTTCGTCATGTATTTTTCTTTTACTTGAAATGATTTAACTCAAGATACTAGTCCATAAGACAAAGAAATTGTTCTTGAATTAGTTAGATTGTTTATTTGACAAATGTTAAACAACTAAAAGTACTCTTTATTTTAAAGACTTATTTATTTATTTGAACACATAAATATTGGTACAAGAGGGTACCAAATATATATGCGCCACACAAAACAATGAGAATTCGAAGAGAGAAAAAAACAATAACGAACAGATTAGTGTAAGGTAGTGTAATAATAATAATAATAATAATAATAATAATGGGGGAAACGGAAAGGTTCAACCAGAAGAAATCTTTCAGTTAGGGAAGGAACAACCATTTTTTATGAAGAAAGTAAGAGAAGGTTACAGCAGGATCATCACTGGCTTCTATTCTGAGCCATATCTGATAACGTCTCTAGCCACTGTACTGCACCATCTCTCGGACCCCAACCAGGGGGTCCTGAAGGAGCAACAGAAGCCAGCCCTGTGTAGCTTTCTTTCGTACCACGACACCATGTCATACACTGACCACCTCTCCGCTACCGAAAGCCCTGGTATGGCCGAGAGTGGGGTGGGCCCACCCTCCCTCTCGAAATGCTCTCACACGGCCACGCGTATACAGCTTGTGCCAAGGAAGTCCTACCCACTGCCTTCTCGTGGCGGGGGTGTTGCTTACGAAAATGAGAGGACGAAAAGTGAATGTCTGGCACTTTAACCGGATCCCAAACCAATGGTGCACATGGGCTCCAGTATCCTGAAGGAACAAATGGAGTATGAACCAATCGTTGGTCACCGGCTACCATGGGACTGCATCTCATCACGATGCTCCACAGCCTTGTGGATCAGACTTTTAGGTCAAAGGCTCTGGGTGTGGCCCCCTAAGAAAACCACCTGCTTCTGTCTGGATACCCGGGCAGTATCACAGCCCATACACAAATATATATATTTTGAAGACTAGAAATTATTGAACTGAATTCACTAGCCTACTGAACTGAAATGTTCATAGTAAGGTCAAAATTTCAGTTAAGCATAATGAAATATCTATCCTCATCAAGTTTGTTCAGGTTAATTTGAAACTAGTTATATTTTGCATGGCTTCGTTTATTTTCAATACGAGTAATATATTACAATCAACTATGAAAGATGATTTCATATGTAATTTTACAACAACCTAATTATTCTTAATACTGAAAATAATAATGAAAATTGTTTGGTATATCTAATAAAACTCAGAAATTACCAAACGTTTGATTACAAACAATGGTCTTTGGAAGTTATAGTCACTTGAGTTGTCTGTTATTCTATGAATACAGCCCTATGAATTAAACAAGCCATGAATTGCTTTCATCCATATAGTTTTCTTTGATATTTGAAAACTCATTCTTTTGTCTATTCGATTCCTATATGAAATTCAATGTTTTTAAATTATCGTCTTTAATTATGAAAGCTCATAACAATAGAGATATTTAAGAACTTTCGTCTAGATTTGATCGAATGGTTTCACAGTATTTGGGCGCCGAGTTGATGTGGGATATTAAAGAGGGAGGATGTATTTGTAAAATATCAGCGAAAGAATTTGAAGTAAATGCAACGTTTCGCCTGGCAATCTGGTCCTTGAAAAAGTTTCTAATAACCATTCACAGACTGACCCTATCTAATAAACCATTGATTACCTCACTTGAGAGCTACTAGATAGCTAGGCTAATGTGTTGCAGACTCAATCTAGTTTAACTCAGTTGATTTGTGTTCAGTCATAGTAAGCTGTAACTGACTAATGAACATGGATAGACATTTGTGCGTATTCCCGTAGATTGTCTCGTAAACTTGTTAATTATCGTTGTCGTATATGTTTTAGTATGGCCGATAACGTGTCCTCGATCCGAATTAGTTTGACATATTAAAGATAAAACATTGTGCTGGGTATATAGCTAGTGAGTGTGATATAATACATGTAACAGAATCGTTCTCATCGTTCAACCTAGGAAACAAGCCTCTCATCAGTAGCACTTCCGAAGAGCATCAAATTAGGCTGAAACAGTGTTCTTGATTTATTTTGGCTGTTCAGATGAAAGTCATCATCGATAAAAGTTATCACTTATTATAACCCTAAATTGTTTCTCAGGAATAGGATTATTGAAAAGTTGCATTTCTATTTGAAAGTACTTTTATGTTAATTATTCTTGGTTTTTATTCAAGGCAAATTTATTAGTACCAATAATACTGAAGCATTTAGCAAACATTCCGAATGCCTTTGTTCAGTGTTCGTAAAACTGGATAAAATATTTAAGGTAAGCTTCTTCTGTTTTGTTTTGTTAATAATGTGTTGTTGAAATAGGCGGTTTGTAGATAAAAAACTCTACTAACTAGACATCTATGGCGAAGTTGGCGTGTGCTCATTACTGTGGAGTATTAAACTAGGCTAAAAGAGTTATGTGTTCATCAGTTTCTGTATGGATACTTTCGTTCATGCTTCGTTTTAATTATAATGACACTTTTGTTATCGATTGTTATCAGTTCAGTGGAAAAACACTAGTGAGACCTATTACACTTTTGACATCAAAAATTCCTGTCTACATTACCCTACCATTCAGAAGTTAGTCAAATGGCCTTGTGCTGAAACGAAGGCTTAATTCAGTTGTAAGTAAATGTATTGTGTAACATTAAGTCACGTAACATCATAAATACAATTTATCTGCTCAAAGATAATTTTTGTTAAAAAAAAGCAAGGTTCATGCTTCAGCGAAGATGTAAATGGCATGTAAATGATTGCGTCACATCCTACTGTATTTATCGGTTCCTATTTGTTTGTCTGTGGCCGCACATACATAAGGGGGATTAATCGTGATCCGTAAGTTAGAGCGCCTGAACACATGCCAAAGTGGTTTCAGAAACAAATAATCAGTTAATCTAATAAGAGCAGATAATAAACATTCATCTTCTATTGTTGAACACAGTAGAAATAAGTCATAAGGTTTATCATAACTCAGTCTTTTTGATTTTGTACAAAATTGTTCAGGGCATTTACTAAGGTTTATTGAAGCCTTGGTCATATGAAAAGTCAAAACCTACTTATGCATTCAAAAACAGTTTGTTCTCACCCTGAACCTACCTTGATATTATTTATTATTCAGCCTGATGTTTCACATTGTTTTCAACATTATTTTCTCTATTAACCATGTTTCCTCTTATTATCTATTCGTCTAGTTGACCTTTAATTTTTAGTATATAAATGTTCTTAACAAGTTTATATGTGATCAGATATTTCTGATAATATTTTGTCTTAGTTCATTATTCTAACTAAATAATTGGTTGTGATTTCTCAGCAGTTCTTCGTGTAAATACTTTGTGGGTTTTCGTTTACGCGATTATCATACAATGAATTGTTTTCGGCTTGGTTAAATTTGACATGTCTCCATGTTAGAACGTTAAGAAACTTACCTTCAAAGTGGACCAACATTACTCAGTGAAATATAGACATTGTTATCCATTTATGTATATATGGTAGACCAATTAGGCCTTAAAGATAGATTTTAGTGTGACCTGTTTATCTCAACTTTAAATCATTTGAATGATAACGTTCTTGATATTTTTGACTGAAATTTGGTCAATGTGGGCTGTGCGGATTGTCTCATTTTTATGAAGTAAAAGAAAATTACAATACGATCGCCATCGATACCAATTATTATCGCTGTCCCCGGACACACGTTACCGAATCTCTGCACTACTAACATGATCTTGAAATCGAACGTCAGCAATCTTTCGGAGATAACGATGATTAACTACAGAGAGTTTCCAAACATTCTCAACTTGGAGAAAATATGTTTCACAAGCTTAGACCAAAACCTTTCTCTTCAAGGCATTGTTAACCCGATCTTTCTCAAAAAAACTAATAACACGTTAGCGCCAAAGGTAACAAATTTCTTTAAACACCTCCGATCTTCACCATATATAGTGATCTTACCACTCACGCCACCATAAATACTCCCACTTCCGGCTACTTCTAATGGCTCATCATCAAGAGTGAGCTCAGTCACAAGCTCTTGCTAGTCATGTAGATGTATTTTTTAGGAGGTGCTAAGTACATGCCATACTTACTGGCATTGATTGTTAGCTGATTAAGCGTGAATTAGACAACTTGAGTATAATTATACAGTAGAACAATATTTGCATACTCAAGGTTAAAAAGGCTTTCCCCAGCGAGCTGGTCCACACAACCCTCACCTACTTTTATCAGGAGCCTTTCTAGAATGTCTTCGTGGTTAAAAGTTGCAGATGAATGGTGGAATTTGACAACCCTGTTTAACTTCATCACTTGAATGGAGAAATAAGGAGAGGCGATTGTATGCCGTCACTCTACCTGAGGTATTTGCATATAGGACCTTCAAAAAATTAGTAGATTTCTCAGACACACTCTTCTTCAAAAGATAATCTCAAAGAAGTGGCTTAATCTTAACTTTTAATCCTTGCGTTAGAGGCCGTAATCCCATTTTCGTTAGCTGTTAAACGAAATATGTACTCGATTCACTTCAGTTTTTTGACATCGAAAAGCATAATTTCCACTTTTCGAAGTAATATATATAGTTATGTAAGGGTCACTTATCCTTACAAAGATAGGTCATATCATTAAAAAAAAGTTAAAAAATGGAGGTAAAATCTCATGAACCAACAACAACATGTAAACATCACACATAAGGTGCGTGTTGTAAATTAATAATCTGGAAGCTAACACTACGAGCTCTGTTCTCGAATGGTGGCTCAACGGTTTCTAGGTGTCCTACTTTCAGCCACTAAATCCTAGATTTAGTTGGATCAGCGGGATAGTATCACTAGCTCGAGTACCTAGAGTGTGGCTTGAAACCCAGGTAAATGGGTATTTAACACCGTGAGAGCATGTTTTCCAAATACTAGCCCTCTATCCAAACTGAAATAGGTAGAACTTAGAACTCAATAACTGCAAACCAATTTTTTCTTCGTGTATTGGTAATTTAACTCTTCCCACTGACGTGTAGAACTGAAATTGATCAGTTTGTCATTTGCATATATACATCCCTTGCTGATTGCCTCGATATTGCCTTAAGTCACAAGCATTATAAGCAGATGTATGGTGACTAGAAGTGAAATCCAGGACCCGTGTTTCCTCCCATTCAGGACTCATCGGTCGGATGTATCTGCATACCAGGATTCGAACCTAGTACCGTGCGCTTCCAGCGTCATCGAGTTATCCACCTGTCTACTGAGTCTGTATAACCGCTATCTGCAGGTACATCCAGTTATCGAGTCCTAAATAGGACAAAACTAAAGTCCTCGATTCCACTGTTAGCCATTTATTATCTCCGCCTATAATCAGAATTATGTATTCAACTATCACAAGATTAATAATCAATTTCATATATTCCATAATCTAATACGAAAGAATTCTATATGAGATTAAATGTGATACATTTTGAACATATAAAATTAATTTTTTTTAATATTTAAATCTCCAGCCTCGTTGTATTATGAACGGTTAAGTATGTAACTAACTTTTTTTTAATTTTTTGAATGAAAACACAATAAGAAAGTAACAATGTATGTTTGATAAAATTGCATAACTACCCGATCAATTCAATAATTGTTCTGTCAACTACTATTTAATTATACATTCTGTTATACAACAATGCAATGTTGTGTTTTGTATGGTTTATATTAGAATTGTGTATAATAATAACATTTCATTTGTTCAGTGAATAAGTGTTGTAAGAGTCCATTACCATGACCTTCGTATTTATATTTTTTTTCAAAAAAAATAACACTCGGTAACTAATTTTTATCAAACTATTCGTTCTAATATTAAAAAGGATACGTATAAAAAAATATTTAGTAGAACTATCCGTAGATTGGTACTTAAATGCCTAAAATATCAGTCTTAAAATGTTGAACAAACTGACATAATACTAGTGGAATAACTAAAATTCTCACTTCTACAAGGAAAGTTGACAATTAAACCGTCTAGTTTTGAGGATATGTAACACCGTTTTCAAAAGATATTAAAGTTTACCTATAATCTTTGTAAACTTAGTTTAGAGCGGAAAAATTTACGAGGTCTAAATAAAGGTTGAGAAATTTGATGGACACAACTCACAACTTGAGTCATCAAATAGGAGCTTAATTTAAACATTTACTGTGACAATTGGGCCTTTTATCAAGGATCAGAAGTAAAATGCCGCTTAATGGTCTGTGAATTAGATAAAGTATCAGTTAACAACCTCCAGATATATTTTGAGTCTTATGGAGAGTATTTTGAAATTCAATTTCTCCGACGCAGTGCATCAGTGACATTACTCCTAATACTGTACCCTTTGTAGGCTACAATCAATGTCTCTCAATCCAACAAATTTAAGATTCAGAAGGTACTCTTATTATGATCAATCCCCATTCGCGTTCAAAGATAGAAGTTAGATTATTACAGGGGAGGTGACAATATTGTTTATAATTATACTTATTTAACGTTACCTATCTGCGTAAGTTTTTAGTAACTTGTTTTTTACCTTACTCAACTGACCAGAAAGAGATTTTTCACTCATTCCCAAATGGGTGTGATCAGATTATAGTTTTCTGTTGTCTTGTAACACTATTATTATTATTATTATTATTATTATTATTTTATTATCGTATTCCTGTAATGAATATTGTCATCAATGTTTTATTAGTCCCAATAGTTATCAGTTCTAAGTAAAATTTGATCAAGTTTGATTGGTAATTGTTATTCCCACTATGATTAAATAATTTGTACATAATTCATTACGTATGTTTCGTTTTCTCACTCACTTGTAATAATTAAATAGTGCTTTGTTTTCATCTTCTGAATTCATTATTCATTTGTTGTTTATGTGTGCGTTTTAATATCCTTATGAATCAAATAACTTTGCTTCATTTAACTGAAAATATTTTGTTAGGTTACTGGTTTAATTTGTAGGCTTTTTTCATCACAGACTAATCTTAGTGTTCGTTCAGTGCTATCGGAAATAAGTAATCGACACTTATAGATTATGAAAACCATTGAATTTCTCTACCCTTGAAGTTCTGGTTTATAATTCGTAGTACATGTTGCATACTATCAAGAAAATTGAATGATTGTCGTTTACGATGGCTTAAATAAGAAATTCTATCATTAAAGTGTCTAGTTAAGGTATTTTCTCAAGTTAACGATTAGATTGTGTTGATTAGTGTATAATTATAATAAAAGTAATTTAGTTAATACTTTCATTACTTTGAAACTAGACACATTGCTTTTAAGTATTGTTGTGTT